AGGAGTTAGCTCACAGTTACAATTTTTAAAAGGTAAACTCAATGGTTGGCAGTGATTAAAAAAGCAAATTAATGTTAGGAATTATTAGGAAAGGAATTATTCGTATTATTATAAAATCAGTATGCTACCTGCAGATCTGGCGCTCTCATCTCTAAAAGGCTGTAGTAGAGCCAGGAAAAAGTTTAGAGAATGGCAAGAAGGATGATCATGAGGGTGAGCTGACTTCCATGCAAGAAAGAATTAAGTAGAATAGGTTTCTTTACCTTAAAAAATATACAGTTTAAGGATGTTATCACAGAAGTCTATAAAATCATAACTGGCATGTGGAGGGTGGGTAGGAATTGACTGTACTATCACTTTTGCTACAGGAATTAATGGCCATCAAACCGAAAAAACAGTAGGAGCCAGGTTCAGTCCCAAAATGCAGAAGTGGTTCCCCATGCAGCAGGGTACAGGTCTGTGCTCCCGGCCGAAGGATGTTGTGGTTGCAGAGAGAGTGTACGTTGATTCAATGGGAGTGTAAATAAGTAATTGGAAGAGATATGTATTAAGGATTACCCAGTAGACAAATCACATCAATCTCAGAGAAACCCTTGAACTGAAAATATTGGGAGTCTAGGAGAGTCATTACGGGAAATACCGTACTTGCCCTGTTCTCATTCTTCTATGGTCATCCACCTACAGCCACTGCTGGTGAGGCTGGTGGCTTAGACAAATGCCAGAGGTGAGCCACTTTGACCTTTCTTACACTCTGTTCGTAGATGAAACTGCTTATGTATATGCCTTTAAACTTTTGTAATTCAGGTGTCCTTTTGGAATAGATTTCTCTTAGCTGTGGGAACTTTGGGGTTTTTTTGTGTGGTTTTTTTTTTCCTTGTTGTCTGTACTATCTCCATTTCATGTCATGACACTTATAAAGACCACTTTTGGGACTAGGGCCTTCTGACGCCAAATGATGTTTAAGCATATAGGTGGCCAGAACTCTGAGTCAAAAAATGTAAACTTTAGAGAACTTCACAAGTATCCCCATCTGCTGAAGAACCAGAGATGATATCTATAGAGGGGAAACATGCTAATTGCTACCTCAAGAAATGAGGGAGGGAGATAGTTAATTGCAAATGCTGTTAAAGGCAAAATTTATTTCACATGTCAACTGATGTTTGAAGATATAGCCTTTTTTCTGAGTTAGTCAGCTAAGTTTTCTTTGGGGGTGGGGAGGGGCGTGGTATGTGCAGAGAGAGCCTGATGATTAGCTCAGACTTGCTGCAGAACTTGTATGGAGCTACAGATAGGTTTGATAAAGCCAACCCTGCATGGCCTGGAAGAAGCAATTTAAAATCTTCCATCTCTACTGAAATTGTAACTGTCTGGAGTGTCCTGACTATCTGATTCTCAAGAAGGCTGGACAGTTATTATCAGATAAGTCTAACTGTGAAAAAGGGGATATACCTTTCAGTAAGACTGAAATTTCTGAATTTAATGAAAAGAAACCTTTAATTCTTTGCTTTTATCAGAGAGCACCTTTCCTTATGAGCAGGTAGTAGCACACTGCATATGGCAATGCATGGTTAATTCAGTTTGAGTGCATAGAGCTGAGGATATCCAATTAACTACATTACTGCAGGACTAATATACCCAAATTGTGCAACTGACTTAACCGGGGAGAATATAAAGTTTTTAAGTCCCATTTTCTAATAAGTGTCTACCTTAGTTCCCAGTCATTGAAGGGAATTTATTAATTCAAGCTTAACCTTGAATGATACAGGTCAGCTACCAGTTGCTTTACTTAGCTATGAAGCACCTAGAGAGAGCCTTGTAAAATTTAAAAATGGTTAGGATTCTCTTTTTCCTTTTTTTTTATGAAGCCTTAGTTAATTCCCCACAATAAACATGACTCTATTTCTGTTACCCAGCGAAGTTAGCTACTCACACATATGCATCAAAACTTTTCTTAGCTTTTCATTATTTTAATCATCCAATCTACTAGGAATGTTCCATACACAATTTTCAGAAGCTCAGTAAAATTAACATCCATCCTTTTTTTATCAAAAAAGTCATCACTCCTAAAGAGAGTCTAGCTGTAGAAAATTTCAGCTCATACAGTAAACGAATGGCTGAGAACAAGGAGAACTGAAAACACTGCACCTTTTTTTACAATATTTTATTAAATTCATGCTATAATTATGCAGTAGTTTGTGTGTTTTGTTTTGTTCTGCTTACTGTAAGTGAGGAAATAATGGTTTCAGTTGAATGTCTTCATCAGAAGCTACGCTAATCAAGCTAAGTGTGCCATGTGGAGATTCTGAATGTTTAATTCTTACCTTATGCTAAACTCGAAGTATAATAAAATGCAGGATTCATTAAAAACTTAAGAAATGCAGTAAATATTTATTCTTGAATGATGTGGCTAGGGTATCTGTGCTACCACTTGGATGTTATAGCCTTGTCCGGTTATTGGCACGTAAGATGGAATATCTCGTCCAACATACAAACAATTGTGTTCTGCCTTTAAAAGGCTCTAATTTATCATCCATTAGTAACATCAAAAAGCCACTACCTGCACTACCAAACTGCACATACTGAAGTGGCAGCTAAAACAGAATTTGAAACTGCTAAACTAAGCAAAAACCCAAATAGTGTTTTCAGGGCACACTGCACGAACTGCTGCCAGAATTTGGACAGATTTGTTGGGAAACCTGTTCTGGCATTGCCACTGTCCAGTTCTTACTTTCTTTTTTTTTGGATCTTTTTCTGGAACAACTATGTTGTCATCAGGGCAGTGTGCAACTGATTGTAGCTGAGTAAATACATTTTTCTTATATAATACAGAGAACAAAGAAGACCTACTAAGTACAGCATGATCATAGCAAAATCAGAAGCCACTCCTTCCATGAAATTCTGTTCTTACTTCATGTTTTTAGTGGCTCATTAATTTTTGAAATTTTCCATGCTTGGTCTCTCCCCAGAAGTGCTTTTTGGTTTTTTATGCTTGACCAGATTTGCCTTGCTGCTCTTAAGCAATAAGAAAAAAGGAAGGAAAGGGGATAGAACTAGTGGAGGGAGGGAGAGAGGCTGAGAGCGAGGGAGGAAACAAGGAGAGAAGGAGGAAAAGATGGGTAATTAGCGTGCCATAACTGCAAATTGTTGTTAGTAAAAGAAGATTTTGCAATGGAAGGGTAGTAGACTTCATTTATGGAGAAATGCTTTCCTTAAAAGCGGAAATAGATGAAACTGTTTCTGATGTCAGTGACTGAGGTGTCTGTACACACTTCTGTTCCTTTCGCAAAACAAAAGCTCCATACTGGTCAAGTTTCATGTTCTGACTGTCACTGTTCTCTAGGGATAATTCCCACACTTTTCCTGTCCTACATGATAGTTTTTTATAGTACATTCTCCTCGTGACATGTCAAAAGCTGCCGAGGGGAGCCACAGGGTAAACTGGCAGAGGCAGTGCGGAAGCCAGAGCCCTCTACCTGCCCTCCAAAACACTTACAAATTCACAATGTAATGGAAGGACTCCGGCTACATTTATGTTAGGGAATTATTTGGCCCAGGCACTGGAATTCAGTCAGCTGTATTGTTAATTTGTTAGAACAATCATGGTTTGGCCTGATTTTGACTTGAACCATCTAGCAATGACCCAGCAATTTGGGGCACTGTTCACCGTTCCCAGCTGGCAGTTTGTAAGAAGGGAGGCCACTATTGGACTTTGATAACACAGACATGGCAAAACTGTGCCAGCTGCCCTCAGAGCCCGTGAATGCACAACACATTGCTTCTTATAACTGTTTTAAATACGGAGCTTGATTGATTTTGGCAATGGATTGTATGACATGTTTTCCCTTCACAACAAAAAGCAGGATTCAATGATACAGAGAACACATCACAGACCTATGCTCTTCTCATGCGATGAAACTTGTTAAAGAAAACCCTCAACCTTGACATATCTTTCCAAAAGTACAGATGTCATCCTGTGCTCTGTTGGGTGGGTTTATATATATATATACACACACATATATATACATCAAAAAGTAGACTCAATATATATATATGTACACACAGGCATGTATTCAGCACCACTCATCCCATAGCAGAGGATACTACAAAGCATTACTTGATATCACTGAAAATTACACAGGTTTCATCACCTATCAGATTGCTCCTCCTTTACTGTCCCCTTTTCTTGTTTCTTTTCTCTTTTCCCTGTTTATGCTTTCTTCTCTAAATTATTCAACTTCATTCTTCTCTGGTTTTTTTTCCTCCTTTCAGTAGAGGGTATCGGCCAACTGATAATACAAACATCCTTGAGTAGGTCAGGCATGAGCACCACCCAACAGAAGACAGTCAGGTTTATATTCCCATTAAGCAGCTACCTCTATTACAACAAGATGAATGCTGCCTTCCTCCCACACAAGCACCTTGCTTCCAGACATGACATGACATGACATGACATAAACCACCAAACTGGAATACAGACTACAGTTTTAACAAAAGAGATTTTTAATGGCTTGTATATCATATTCCAGCTTCCCCATCTCGAGTAGAGACCATCTTGTCCAATGATGCTACTTCACAGAATCAAACAAAGCAGTTCTCCCTTCACTGGTGGCTTTCAGTGGTTTCATCTGCACAGATGCGTGGTTAGCAAGTAGGGAGAGCAGAAAAAAACCTTTCATCCAGGACTATTCTAGTCCAGTGCCTATCTGTTCTAAAGAATGGCAGAAAACCATGAGTTTCTCTTAACAATTAACGATGGGGTTTTACTCTTTGACATCCTTGTGTGGCAGTAACTCTGACAGACTGGTTCAGAATAGAGTGTAAATCTGCTTATTTCTTTGTGTCGATCTAATACAAAATTCATTCTCCTGGTCATTCATTGACTAGGTCAAATGAGATTAAATGTTACATAATAGAATCAGAAAGAGCATTTCAACAAAGAAGCAGCAAACACAGGAAACTTTTCTGTACCATGAAGAACTACTCAAATACTTTAATCTTACCTCCCTGAGGGGATCATTGAGCTCATTCAAAATGTTTTCTTCATCGAAGATCTTGCCTTGGTAGCGGTGCTCATAGTAATCATGGATCTTCTGGCGCATTTCAGCAGGTAACTTGTGGAATGACATGTACTGTTCCACTTGTTTGTACTGTCAGGACAATAAAAGGAAGAATCAGAAAAAAACCCCTACTTTTTTACTATCTAAAGGCACCTACAAAATGAAAACTTATTCAAGTATCCACTTAAGCTTTACATATTTCATAAAGACAACATTTTATTCATATGTCAGAGAATCCTCACACAGATATTAGTTAATTTAGTATTACTCACGTGGCAGCACAACTAGAAATTACGGAAACTGTCTTTAGTGGTGATGCTAATATCCACATCAATATGTAAGTTTTAGTAGCCAAACCCTCACACTTGTCACACTTTGTTCCCTAAATTCCCAGCTATACAGAAGTTGTGAAAGTACATCAACACCATTTTTAGCTCATTCCATGCGGCAGACAGGGAAACTGTACACAGTGTCCATCTACATCTCTAGTGCTGCATTCAGAGAGAGTTTAAGGTATGAAATTTCAGAAACTGGCTATGCTGTATTAATATGCAACATATTAATGTTGTGTATGCTTATAAAGTGACTGAAGAACAAAGTTAAAATCTGTGGAAATACTGAAGTAGAAAGCATTCCTCAGGAGGAATGAAGAGAAAAGAGAAGTGAACTGGAAAAATAAGCATGACATCAGGAAATAGAAAGTGGGGGAAGAGAGAGATGCCAAGACCCAGGAGACTCAGAGGATCTCACTTCATTTACCTTGCGCATTTGGTTTCCTTGTTTCTACTAGTCCTCTGTCCTGTCTTCTGCTTTGTTTGCATCCCTTCTTCAGAAGCCTTTTTGGATAGCATAATTTTCAGAAAAGAAAGTCCCAAACTAACATACTCAGAGTTGTACTGTACTAAACTATGTGATACATCTCAGACCCACAAAATGGAGAAGTTGCCTGTACCACGAATGGACAAGTACCACCTGACCAAGGCTTTTGCCCCTCAGAACTCCCTTCCTTGTCTCAGTTGAAGAGGATAAAACCCCTCCCAGGCTTATAAGTGAGTTAAAACTTGGCAGAAACTTGGTTTACTTCTGTAAAGAGTCTTCATTTAATTTTTTTATTCATTTTTTCATGCTTAATTAGGCAATTTTAACTGTTTTCAGTGAAAAAGCCAATGAAGTCTTAATTAGGATCAGCATCTCTGTAGAGCAATTACATGAATTTATAATGTACATGCACTCCTTATGAACTGCAGCACATATCCTTTAACTTGTATAACTGAAGGCTGCTCCATCCTCTGGAACTGAAATTAGTTTTTGCTTTGCAAAGTGGCATAAGATTAGATGAGGCCGTGTGTACAACATGCATTCCACAAATAAGAGGAAAGTAATTTTGCATGGGACTATTTAACAATGTATGATGAATATGTAAGTCTGATTTAACCTCTGTACGGCTATTTTGCACCTCTGAAGCAAGAATTCTTCACCCCCATCCTTTAGAAGCGAGATTTAAATTTGCATGCTCATCATCAGTTTCTGTTCTGATACGGAGAAATTTATCCATACATTGTGGGTTTGAATCAGAGTTGTGGGTCACCAGAAGACAGACATGCTCTAGCACAAACAAATTATTGTTTCTAAAATTACCCTACTAATCAGTCGCAGCTAATCTAGGCACAGATTTACTTAGAGGGAAAGGACATGAGATTGCCCAGTGCTCCACATACCTCACCAAGGTGGCCACATAGCCCTAGCTGCTGTGCAGCGCTCCAGCTTTTCTGCAGCAAAGCCAAGGAGAAGATGCACTGCGCAATGTCCCCTTTGTGTCTGTGTCCAGCCTGCCATTGCTGTGGCCCCATGTAAGGATACGTAACGTGTGTCGTGTTGTAGTACATACACATGGGCAGGGAAGGGACTTCACTGTGCTCCCTAGCACAGGGGCTGCACCCCTCTACCCAATCTTATTTGCATACAAATGTGCTTGAGCAACACTAATGAGGAGTAATCCTTGTTAAGAAAAAACAGACATTCATTGAGATGTATATTGTAGGAGAGCTGCAAAGGACTTTTATACCAGAATGACCTTGAATAAGAGAACATTCATGCTAAAAGCAATTTGCTTTGCCAGCAATTTACACTGCTCCCTTTCATTAGTGCTGTTATTTGAATAGGTGCTTTCTCCCACACACCCGAGTTCTTTTCTATACCAGGGTTTATGCTTACACATGAGAATTTTAGGGAAACAGAAAAAATAAAACTAGTAGGAAGGTAGTGCTTATCACTGGTGTATCTTAAAATGTTTCCAAATTAGTAACACACAGAATAATAGGGACAGCTGCATATTAGCAACATTTTCTTTAAAAAATCTACAAGAAGGAAGTTAAAGTCTCCCACAATTCCAAGAAATATTTAACCATCTAAAATACTATCAAGGTCTCTTCCTATGTCAAATTATCTGACCCTGTGAGTGTACAGTATACTATCACTATCACCCTGTAATAAATCTTTTCTTAATCTTTCTCGGTGTCATTTTCACTCATATTCTGTATCATTCATGCTACTACTGCTCCCTTCTTGACATTCTGTCATAGCATTCACGTGAAGTGTTCCCTCAAAACTCCTAACACTCTTTTCTTCAGCAACTGATATCTTCCACTAACTCAGTCCAAGTAATGATTGCTGGTTTATTTCTCAGAAAAGCAAGTTCATTTTTTCAGCATGCTATATATCACTGTGATGTGTCACATGCCAGTTGCAAAAAACTGTGCTAAAATGAAGATGCAAAGAGAGCAAAATTAATATGGTCTTGCTCATTTCGTGTAATAAAACACTAATTTTTCCAAGTTAGTTCTGAAGAATATTTTCTCTATGGGTATCACAGATATCAATAATGGTTAGAACTGGAGATGTTTTTCACTTTTAAATAATTATAATGAATTTTGTTGGTTTTTTTACTCATGAAAAAAATGCACATAACTTAAAGAGAAATGAACTATTTTCTGGGAAAAAAAAAAACATGTCAAAAAGGTTTAAAAATTCTCATTAGCACCGTGAATCCCTTGAATAAAAATGAAAATTCAGTAGCTTCTTCCCCTGATTTTTCTAAGTGTGATTTTACATATGAAGTTGATAAAATTGTCAGTGAAGTTAAATTTTGTCAAAACTTTGTATTTTAATCATATTTAAAAGAGCTGTAACTGATCCTGAGTCATCCATCAGACCTGACACTTGAACCTGCATCTTTATATGAGTGGAATAATTTCTCTCTGACTCTTCTCATTACACTGTATCCTGTATCTCTTCCCTTCCAGGTTGAAAATTTTGGTTTGCATGGTTTTTTTTTGTTTTGGTTTGGTTTGGTTTTAGGGGTTTGTTTGGTTGTTGTTTTCTTGTTTGTTTTGCTTTATCCAGAAAAGAGATGGCTTAAGTCCACATTCATTAAAGCACCTTTGGTGCTTACATCTGCGTGAAATAATTTTCAGAGCCACAGCAAGTTCCCTCAAAACTGACTTTAATTTCTTTTCCTTTTTTTTTTTTTTCCTTTTGTTATGGCACATGGGAAGCACCAGACTACATTCAAAATATAAACGACTGTGTTAAAACTCTCTTTTTAATTTCAAATTGCCTTTCCATACTTGGTCCTGCCTGACACAAGGAAGACTTCATTTTCCAGGGAGGACTGTTTAGTAAGGGACTCCATGCGTGCACATCTAAAGGGATGTCAGAGGCCTCTAAAAGCAACAGAAAACTTTGGTTTCTGAGGAGAGAAAGAGGCATCCAGGCTATTCATCAGAGCCTGCGCTGGATGAAGACATGGCAAGACAAAGGAAAGCTAAGATAAACGTTTTAAAATGAGAACATTGTTGTTTTATCTAATGTTACTACACACAAGTGACTTTATTTCCATAAAATCCTAAACATGGTCCAGTTAACCTCAAAATGTTTTCTGGTAATCAAATGCTTTCAGACTGCTTTAAAAAACTTCTTAATGCATACTGATATAGCTGACTGCAATTAAATAAAAAGATTGTCATCTTTCTTTCTTTCCCTGGATCAGCTGGCTTATACTCTGAAATATGGAGACCTGATCCTACTTGATGCTATTTAAAATGCTTTTATTATTCATACAAATACCTATTTTTGTATCCTGCTGTGCCTGTATACTATCTACTCTGTTTTTGGCCTGTACAAACCATATATTCTTTTTGCACTTTAATCGTCCTATCTCTCAAATTCGTTACATGTTGTCTTATATTTTCATAGAAGTAAACAGTATTTTTGAATGCTGATGCTGTTTTTCGTACCTGCTACAACTATGTATTCCTGGTCTATTCAATATCTCACTGAATGGAAGAAATACTGTGCTGCTTACTGCTCCATGCCTATCTCTTTTTCAAGGTGAATATTCAATTGTTTGTCCTAAAATGAGTACGTATATTAATGTGATTTATATATTGCACTGCCATAATTTCAGTAATTTCTATCCCAGTGTTTTATATTCATCACTGAAATGAAAATACCCATAAATGCTACACAAATAAACAAATAAAATTGCTGAAATAGGTGAGAGCTAAGTGGATTACAAAGTTAGGTAGTATTTCACAGATTTTTACTGCAAAGCATCATCCAGTAATAACTGCTTCTTGTTGTTTCAGCCATAATCTTATTCATGGGCTCCTTGTATGTAGCAAAATTCTGCTACTATGTTCCTCCAGCAAAAGGTGAGTAGTATGACACTGATCACATGAGGTCCTTAGTAGAGTTGGTTAGGAAACTACAGTTATCCTTAAAAAAAGAGGAATGGAAAAAGACAAAGGAGAGGAGTGAGGTCTTTTTCATAACAATTTGCAACTGAAGCAGGGAAAATATTTTAAAAATAAGACAGTAGACCAATACAGGCAATATCCCAATGAAACCAGTAAAATGGAAACCTGAATGTTGATCTCTCACAAGATATTTTAGTACATAAGTTGAGCCTACCAGGTCCTTTCCTCATAATATTTCATAACAATCAAATTGCCTTTTTTAGCTGAAAAAAATCTGAGAGTCCTAATAATCTTTACAGCTTAAGATTCAGTCCTTGATACAATAAACCATAT